AGGCAAATAGTGACTCCTTAAGAATTTTGACAACAGCAAGGCACTTATCAATTCCTAGAACGTCTCATCCCTTATAGCGTGCGGGTTAGATTGAGTCGTCATGTCTATCTAGCTGTGTTTGGCTAGTGATTAACAATTCTGCATCTCTGGATCGGGTCAGGTGGGGTTATCATGTCTGTACTCAACATATATCACTAAATCTCTGGGTCGGGTTGGGTTGAGTTGTCATGTGTGTCTTGCACTGTCTTACTAGTGATCAACAACTGTATATGTGTGGGTTGGGTCAGGTTGGGTTATCATGTCTGTAGGCAACATATATCACTAGATAACCCAACCTGACCCGACCCAGAGATATAGACCTGTTAAGCAGTAGTCAGACACTACTAGACACACATGGCGACCCAACCTTACCCGATCCAGAGATGACGACCTATAGAGAAGACGACTCAACCAAACCTTACCTGAGCGACAGAAGCAGAATTCCTGATCAGTAGTGAGACACAGAAAGCAGCATGAGCAATAAGTTGACCGTACGTGACTTTTATCGAACACCTTACTATTTGCCAGCCTCTCATTATATCTAAAGAACAACAAAAAAAAGTAAACAAAGTTGAACACTAATCATATAGTTAGATTCACAATTCAATTCTCTACAGGATGCGCTGCTTTCCATTTCTTTTTATATCTTTTTATATAATCAAAAATTCAGTTTTCAGATAATGAGTCATCAGAAAATGAAGTTTTTTCAATTTTCGAGTCCCATAATTTTGCAACGAAAGGACGTATCGAGTAGAAAATTTTTGTGGAAGTGGGCAAAGTACAGGAAAAAATTTGCTCAAGCGAGTCTCTGGTAACCTGAGTTATTATAGAAACATATCTAAACAAGTGATTGTACTAGAAAGTTACGTTTCGCTCATATATATATACATTTTCTTATATAATTATGATTCAAGCTTGAATTAACTTTTTCTCGTATTAGCATGTTTTTCTAATTTTGTGGAATCATAAAAATGCTATTTTTCTAAGTCAAAAATGATTTAGAACAGAAATAAATTTCATCTTTTGGGCGGAGACGGAAATTTAATAAAATTTTGGTGGAATTTCTAACGGTGAAAAAATGACTAAGGCGAAAAATTACCCACGGCCTAACTAGCCTCTCTATAGAGATGTTATAGAACGTGGCAAAACCAAAACTTAACGAAGAAAAATTGAGAATTTAAGACAACTTAAACATTTAATTTTGTTTGTCCAACTGGAATATAAAAATCACGTTATCGAAAAATCAACAAACTTACAGTACTATTTAATCACGAAGACTAAATAATACTCTCTTGATAACTATAAATATTGCGAGTTAGCAACAAATATTTAGTTTTTAAGACAGATTTTCGTGTAAGAATAAAAACAACAAAAATTAGTTTTTATTGAAACCGATTTTCCACTCAAAAATAAGGAAGGTGACGAACTTTTTGTTTAGATCTTAGCACTTCTCTCGACAAATCAACATTGTCTCCAAGGCACCTTAAAATAGTGACCTATTTTATATTTTGAACACAGACTTTGAGGTAAAACAAGATACCTTTTGAAATTTTCGTCATATTTTTTATAGTGCCCAACCATTTTTGGTCGGAAAAACTTGCTATCATACATAGTGATAAATTAAACATTTTTCTACATGCTGATGCAAAAATCTTAGGAATTTCGATAATTTTCAATCAGATCCAGAATGCGGAGAGTCCGATTTGTGTCTCTTTTAATGCCAATGCATAAAAAATGGAAAAATGAAAACATTGAGTACAGCTGACAGTGTGTTAATCAGCTTAATGAGACAAAAATCATACACTGGAAAGGGGAACAATATGAGATATTTTTTCAACTAATTATCTCTCAGATTTAATTAACACCGACATTTGCATTAAAATTCCACATATTCTTTTTCACATTCCGTTCTTTTCGAACAAAATTTCATTCAATTGAGCGTAAAAAATCAACTATCAATTTCAAACATTAAATACGATGGGGAACATAGTAACTTTTGACTTTTTGAAAACATTTTTCGTAAAAATCAAATTTCTGTACCTAAAAAAATCTCCAAAATAAAAAATTAAACGGTACGTATTTTGTGGTGCTTGAAATTCTGCATTTTAAGAGCAGAAACATATATCAACTTAGTTTTTGCTAGTGAGATAATTAACATGATGAAATTTGTAACTACACGTTATGTCTTTTTGAAAATCGCTTCGACTTATACGCTGTAAAGCATTTTTGATAAGACCTACTTAAACAGAACTATTTCTGCTCATGAAATGCAGAACTTCAAGCAGCAACAGACACTAGATTTGTGATTAAAATTGAAAATAATCTTTGAAAAACTGCGTTTTATGGAAGAAGTGATTTATCACCGGAGAGATTTCTCCGTAAGATAACATCGTATAGAGAGGAAAAAAGTTTAGAACGTTAATCTAAAAGTTCAACAATATGTTCTTATCAGAGATGGGCATGCCAAATACCAGACTTGCACGTTCAAATGGTGAAAGATTTATAAAATGTCTCAGTCATATGTGACGTTAAAAAAGCCGTATTTTATTTTCGAGAAAAGTGTCACGGGGACTTGAAGTAGATCATTTTTTTCTGTTACATATGATAAACATGAAGGCGCGAAAAATAAATATAAAAAGAGAAAACAGTACGAGCAAAATGACAAAATATTGATTGTTCATGCTTTTTTTCGCTGTTTCTGTCGACAATGCATACTTCGTATTTACAAAAAAAGAAAAGAAAAGATTTCGATATCTCTAATAATACTAGTAATAAATAAAAAACAAACACTTTCTTTTTTCTTCTGATTTAGCAGATAAAACTTGATAAGAGAGCAAAAACCATTTTTATAGAACAAAGTTTTATAATAACTACTATGACAAAAGAAAAACCGAGTTTGCTGTTATTAAAGAAATATAGTTAAATTAAAAGAAAATAGATATGCGCGTGCGAATTAAATGCAACATGTCATACATAGTTGCTTATATAAATATTTACACCTGATACAACAAAATATATTCACTAAAGTAAAATTGGAAATTATAAGGAAATATATATTGAAAGAGCGACAAATAGCACACGCAAGGTACCGCACCATGCAGAATAATCTAAACGATGTTATTTTGTCGGATTTTATCTTCAAATCCATTTAAATCTTGTTTAATTTTTGTTTTGTTTGTTGTATGAAATGATCAAAATAAATATCAAAAATATGTTTGTTTACATTCTATAAAGTTGTTGTTTATGTTAAAGTCATTCATCGCCTAGATTAAAATAAAATTGTTAATATTAGTCGTATATAAAGTTGAAAATAAACATTCTCAGCTTCTCTTCAGTCGACTCAATAACAATCCAATACACATTCGAGTTATTCCCTAACATTTTTAAAACAAATATACACGAGTTAAAATGAAAACGTTAACTGTCAGACATGGGAGAAAGAATCTTAATTAACCCTATCTAATTAATAACATTTTTTATTCCTCTTCTTACCGTTCGCAAATATCCAAAATATAATTCCAACCAAAATTATTATCCCAATATTCTCGTCCCATTACTTGGTAACATATTGTGAAAAAAATACTCATATTTTGTTCTGATGATATATCATCTGTTAATAATGTTTCTGGAATTGTTAATTCAAATGTAAACGAATCAGTGTTATCATTCGAATTATGTAAATTATGCATAGCTTGACTATCGTCGTATGTTTTCCATCGATCGCATGTGTAACGAACGAACACTTTTTTGTCAAATGAACAATTAGTAACTCGAACAGTTCCATAGGCGGATATATCTTTTGTATATAAACATTCTAAAACTACTTGTCGCTCATAAACTTGTTGAACAATATTTGACGGAGGCGTAAATGATTTTGATACAAGATAAAGAATTGGTTTTTTACAATCGCTTATTATAGAATTAAGACTACTAATGCTAGATGATCCTATATTCGTTCGATGTAAATTCAATTGTTCTAATCTAAGTTTAATATAATCGACAGTGGATGATGTTACTGACATATCGGGAGGCGTCATATAACGTATTGATTCCAAATCAAGACCCTTAAAAAGAAAAGAGAAATTTAATTTTAAATATTATTAGTTATAGTCTCTCTTACCATTACATCAGCGAATCGTACAACTTTTCTTGGTGCTTTTTCTGAAAATTTTTTATCAGTCGGTTGTACAATTTTTAATGAATTTGAACGACATATACCATTTGCTTCTTGATCTTCTCCTTCAGTAAATAGAGAAAAATGTTCAGCATACAATGTATTCGTGGACGAATTGAGCGAGTTGAGAAATCCTGATGTCTGTTTTCCACTATTACTACTATCATCATCATCATCATCATCATTGTCGTATGCAATCAACAAATCTTCAAAATCTGCTATACGTTTATCGATACTATTTTCATTTCCAATTATTGTTAACGTATCTACAAAGAGAAAAAGTTACATACGTTGAAATAAAACATCAATATAACTGACATACTCACCAGCACTTTTTTGAAGAATTTGTCCATCTTCTCCATCTATGTCATCTAAATTGGGCGTTTCTTCTTCTTTATCTTCGAAACCAATTGAAAAATCAATTTCACTTAAATTTGAATCATCACTTTTATTTGAATTACAACTAAGTCCAGATGATATTCCCGATGACGATGTATTACTACTTTCATGATCCGAACGAGATGTATTTGAATAGGAACGTATACGTGATGAGAGTGTTGAAGATAAATTTGTACCTGTGTGTATACAACGTGTATTTGCTTGAATTTTATGTAATGGTGAAATGTTTAAATTAATAGTACCATCATCATACGATAGAAAATTGGATCTTGTTGTTAGCGATGACGATGGTAAATGTTTTGATAAGTATGAATAGTCTTCTTGAGCTGATTGTAATGGTCCTGATATTCTTAACAAATTATTATTTGCTGCTAATATTTCATTGCTTTGTAAAAAATCATAACACTTTTGATGAGTTGACAAAGGTCGGTAATTAACGTGGGATTTTGTGGAATCGCTTTTATCCATAGCATCCGAGCACCGATTTGTATAATAAAATCTATATAAAAGAAATATCTAGAAAAAAAAACACAGTTGAAAAACTGATTAAACGTGATCATACTGCTTGTCTTTGAAACAATGTCTATAATGGCAGATTTTTTATATAATAAAATGATTGTAATTGATTGAAAAAAATTATTAACATAACTGAAAAACTCTACATTCAACTTTCATAATCCCATCACTTCCATTATACCTAATGCCTTCTTTTTGATACAAAAACAAATATTTATACATAAGTCACTGTTTATCACTAAAAAAAAGTGAGCAACGATTCAAAGTAGTCTGTGTTTTATTTTTTTCCTTTCCTTCTTCTTCTTACTTCACATCTGTTGCTTCGTCTGAGGTCACCGTAAAAAAACACACTGATCCTACCGTCTGACCTGCAGACCATTACCACTTCTTATGACTGAATAGCTTATATTTCCACTCTAAACGAAACTACAACCATCTTCGCTCCCTCTGTCTGGAAAACAGTGATAAAACTATCACTATTTGTTCTTAGAAAACCTTAAACAGAAGAATAAAAAAGACAGAAAGCAAGAAAGGCTAATAGATCAACATGTGCAACAATGCCAAAAGAAGAAAAAAAGTATATGAAATCATTGGATTGGTTATTCATTGTTAGCATAATGAAGCATCCAGCATCATAAAAGGAAAAACTTCTGAAACATTTCATCTCAAGTTAAATAAATTCTTTTTCTAACTGTAATGTACTTGCTTCTCCATTAAGTAACAAATTGATTCTCGTTTCTATTGGCTGTGTTTCCATGGAAAATATAATTCCACGAAATACCCAATCAGTCTTTTATACAGCTGTAAAAAACAACAGCCTGTTTCTCAACAAAAAAAACAACAGAGGTCATGTAGTAGTAAAGATTGGTCACGTTTTAACAAATTTAGATTAATTTGATGAAATTTTTTGAACAAAATTCTTCTGAAATTATTTTTTATTTAAGTATTGTGGGTCTGACTACGAAAAAACGTAAAATAAAGAAGTTACAAATTCACTCATGTTACTCATGTACATTCACCTATTACTACACAAAAGAAGTATTTCTATTTACTCATTCTTTTAATCCTCTCTTGTGTATACCTGCGTGAGGTCATCTATTTTTTTGTAACTCTTTAATTGTACATCATTACTCACTATCATTCAATGGGGCAAAGTGCTCACTTAAATTAGAAACTGATCATCCATCGAAGTCGTGTTTCAGACAAAAGACAGGCGTAATTTGTGGTGTTTATTATTTATTTAAGCGCAAGGTCAAAATTTAACTTCGATTGACACTTTAAAAACAAGCAAATTGTTCTACATTTTACTATAGATTTTGATCTGATTATTCAAAATATCAGGTTATCTCGAAAAGATAATTCATATATAATAGTAGGTCATTATTTCAACCAAAAAACTTAGGTCGATGGTACTGTTTCAATTACCTAAGATTTATAATAATCAGCTCAAAATCTACAATAATTTGTTTGTCTTTAAAGTGTCAATCGACGTTAAATCTCGACCTTGTGCTTAAATAAGTAATAAACACTACAAAGTACACCTGTCTCTTTGTTTAGAACACGAATTCGATGCATGATCAGTTTCTGATTTGAGCATTTTTCTCCACTTGCCAAATGATAAGTATCATGTGGCAATTAATTACCTTTAAATGACGGCTAAGTTCTGTAGGATATATTTATTTTGTAGGGCTAATACACAAGAAAATAATTTCAGATTGTCCTCAACAGTTGGGGATGGGTAACAGCTAAGGATAGCTGAGAATCGAAAGTGAAACGATGAGTGTACGAAGAAATTATATGAGTGTCTCTATCAGGGATAATGAGTTTAAATGGAGCAAGTGGCCGGGTTTGGTCCGGTCACTTGCATCATCGGACAGGGCCGACCAAAAATTTTCAGCCCGTGCGCTGATTTGAATGGAGTGTCTCTATTTATCCCAATTGGGGTAATCAGAGACACTTAGATGAAGCTCTTCGCATTTTGGATCTGGCTCAAAATTGATCGGACACTGCTTTTTTTACATAAGAGAGACACATATTCACATAGCAGTACAAAACAAATTAATCTTTTAACAACAATAACATAAAAAATAAGCATAGATATGTATTGCACACGTTGTCTTTTGAAATTATACTTTTTCACCGACTGTATATCTTATCTGTTCAGGTCGCTACCGTCTATTAACAGTTAAACAAAATAAGAATCTCTTCATGAAGATATTTTCACTAAAAAACGAAGTATAATACTGTTTAAATACGACTTTTTAAAATTTCAAACATAATTGAAAGATTTGATCCAAGAGAACAGTTTAAAGGACGGAAAACGGTTTCTGCTAGAAAATGGCCCAATATGATTTTGAGTGAAAATGACTAGAAATGCTTCCCATTTCACTTCCCAACACTTCTGACTTTCAAAAATTGCTCCTGATCTCCTTGAAAAAATTATTTCTTATAATTTTTCGTCACCACTTCAGCGAAGGTCATTCATTTTGTTTCTCAAATTTTTAGAAACAATTCCACACTTCAAAACGAACTATTGACATAGATGGAGAAGATGGACAAATTCTTCAAAAAAGTGCTGGTGAGTATGTCAGTTATATTGATGTTTTATTTCAACGTATGTAACTTTTTCTCTTTGTAGATACGTTAACAATAA